TTTTCATTAATTTAATTTAATTTAATTTTTAATAGTAATTTAGATTTACTATTTAATTATTAGTTTATATGTAAAAAAAATCTTTTTTATATACCATTTGGTACAAATAATACTAAAGCTAAAATATTAGACATATGTAATCATTCATTAGGCATGAACATAAATAATAAAATAACTAAAGTTAAAATAGAAATAATTATAGATAATGAACTAGATAAAGCAAATTGTGAATTAAAATATATTTTATTAACTACTTTATCTTTTTGCATTATAAGAGCAGGAATTCTAATATCTTTTAATTTATTAAAGTAAGTATATGAATGTCCATCAAAGAACATTGTTTTTACAATATATAAGTAATAAACTGCACTTATAACACTAGTCAATACACCTATAAGAGTTAAGAAGATAAATCCTTCTTGTAAAGCAGCAGAGAAAACCATCTGTTTAGCAAAGAATCCCATTAAAGGAGGTATACCAGCAAAAGAAAATAAAGTAATAGTTAAACTTAAAGCTAATATACTATTAATATGGAAATATCCTTTAAGTTGACTAATAAGTTGAATAGGTGAATTATTTTTATCTACTAAATTATTATGATTTATATTTTTATCATTATAAGCATATAAACTATAACCTATAGCTATTAATAATATAAAGGCATTTAAATTAGATAAACTATATTGTATTAAGTAGAAAATAAAAGATTGAATAGATTCAACACTATTAATAGATAATGCTAATAAAATAAATCCTAAATGAGATATAGTACTATAAGCAAATAATCTTTTAATTCTAAATTGAGTTAAACCTAAAATAGTACCTATTATTAAAGATAATAATGAACTTAGTAATAAACTTGAAGTTCAAGAATAAGTTGTTGTAATATATATATTATTAGTATAATGTACTAATTGTAATAATAAAGTTAATATAGATATTTTTGCTATTAAAGCTACAAATGTTGTTACTATAGTAGGTATTCCATCATAAACATCAGGTGATCAAAAATGGAATGGTGCAGCTGATATTTTAAATAAGAATCCTATAGAAATTAATAATAAGCAATAAGGTATATAACTAGTTATTTCTTGATTATTAATTATACCAGCTAAGTTATTAATAATGTAAAAACTATCTAAATAAGTAACACCTAAATTAGCATATATTAATGCAATACCTAATAAAATAAAACAAGATGATAATCCACCTAATAAAAAATAAGTTAAACCAGCTGAAGTAGAAGATTCAGAATTTCTATACATAGTACATAATAAATATAAACCATAACTTTGTAATTCAATAGATAAGAAAATGGATATTAAATCACTACTAGATATTAATAATACACTTCCTGTTATTATAAATAATAACATTAATGTATATTCTATTATTGTATATTGTTCTCCTCTTTTTAATATTATATTAGAAACAGTTAAGTTTTTAATAAACTGTAATTTTGTAAATAATATTTGGTAAAAACTTGAATATTCACTAGAAATTAATTTTCTAGGATAAAATCCTGTTAAATTTAGAATTAATAAACTAATAACAAATATTAATATATGGAATGATTGTGTTATAGAGGACGTGTAAAATAAACTCCCAAATAACCCAATACCATCATATAAATATGTTATAAATAAATTATTATATGCTAAATAAATACAATAAAATAAAATTATTATACCTATTCTAGAATAAAGAATTGTACTATCACGTCTAAATGATAAAGCATTAGATAATAATAAACAGAAAATTGACGATAAAAGCATTTCTATGTTAAAAATATAATTAAAAAAAA